TCACTTTGAAGACTAAAAATTGTAAATATGTATAGAATCACAAAATAGGTAGTTTTTAATGTCTCTTTTATAAATTCTCTTTTATAAATGATAGCCAGACAAGTATACTAGAACTCACTTTAAGAACTAAAGATTGTAAATATGTGTAAAATCACAAAGTAAGTAGGTAGCTTTTATGTCCTCTTATTCCCTGTTGTTAATGATAGCTAAACAAACATACAAGACCAGATTTTCAAGTCTAAATTGTAAATATGTATAGAATAGTTACTGAGTTACAACGTAAGTAGGTAGTTTTTAACATCCTCTTTTAACATTCTCTTATTTAAATGATGATGGCCAGGCAAATATACTAGACTTCACTTTAAAGTCTAAAAGTTGTCAATATGTTTAAAATCAAAAAAGGAAGTAGGTAGCTTTTAATCTCTTATTCTCTCGTATTATTGATAGCTAGGCAAACATACAAGACCAGACTTTCATGTCTACATTGTAAATATTATATAGAATAGTTACGAGGTGGGTAGGTAGTTTTTGATGTCCTTTTATTCTCTTGTGCTTTTCATATTCAAACATACTAGAACTTAGTCCAGTTTGCAAATATGATTAAATTATACATATGCATATACGTGTAAGCATTTCTGTATACTTTGGGCTTTTTTTTTAATAACGCGCACACTCAACATAGCCCTGCACTAGGGAAACCCTTTGTCGCGGGAGCCATGGACACACACATAGACAACCACATTTACACCCACACTCCGAGAGAAATGAATGTAGGCCATACAAATGTTTGCCCGGCCCGGGAATCGAACCTGAGACTTCTGCGTGGCAGTCCGGCTTGGTAACCGTTCGGCCACGGAGGCAGTTATTGCTTTTGGATAAGAGTAGTGTAGTAGTGTCCCATATTATATGCGGGCGGAGCTATATCCAAGTAGTGGTTGAGTCGCATGGAACAGCGCGGAAATTGTACATTATCGTATGTACTAGGTCGGGCGCTGTTCCCCCTCATCAGAGGGGCCATTTCATTGGTACACGTACACATTTTAGCCGTAGAAATTGGTATTATTAAAATATAAAGATTGTTACTTAAGTTCGGTATAAGATATATTAATGTATAAGTATCTGTGTATTAAATAAATAAATAAAAGTCATTCTTACTCATTTTAATCCCCATTCCTAAAATTTTTGTATCTCCAGAACCTGAGCGTACAAAATCCGGAAAAATATTCTATACTTTAATCGTATGGCACAGCTCTAACACCGGTTTTATCGATTAGAGGGCGTCCCTATTTTACTACAATACTACACAACTATATGAAAGGTGTAAAAGGAACAAAAGAGTTGATAATGAACAAATTTCAAAGTGCAAGTGAGATATTGCATAAATTTATCAATGAATATCTATAGCACATTCCTCGCCGCCTCCGCGTCGCATCATACCCCACTACTATGACATTGTCTTTCCAAAGACTTAACCGTCTGTCTTGTATTTTTAGTTTGTGATTGACATTTGAGTTTTGTAAACACGAGTTTGTGTCGGCGAAAATATTACTTTTTTTATAAAATAAGGCAATAGCAATGGTTATTGCAATTGGATTCGAAGGCAGTGCTAACAAACTAGGAGTAGGTATCGTCAAAGATGGAGAAATCCTAGCAAATTGTCGAAGAACTTACATTACACCACCGGGTGAAGGTTAGTGCTTAATTTTTATGTGTTCGTTTTGTAATAAGCAATATTCAGTAAAACTTCTGAACTGTAATTACCATTAGACATTCCTTTACATTTCTTTAACGGCATAAATTGCAATATCTCCGTCGAAACTAAACGAATATATTATAACCTAAATTGTATATTTTGTTAAGCAGTCCTTCTATACAGGGTGTAAATTTGAGACGGGACAGCAAGGTCCGGGACCTTAATCGTTGTAGTTACAGGAAAACGGTTCTAGAAGAGTATCCATGTTTTTTGAAGATATTTTGATTGGCATTCACAGATTTTGAAAAAATGGTACAGTTAGCAAGATAAAAGGCAATTTTTACAAAACTTTTTTATGCCATTCGATCCGGTCTGTGTTAAGGATCAATAGTCTCTATGGGTTTGTTATTGTTTTTATTTTGAAATACATAATATGTTGTCAATTTGTTAGTTTCCTTAACTTAGAATAACTAATTACTAAATATGTCCCTACAAAATGTATGGTAAAAAGTTTTTTGCGATTTCTGACATTTCGTGTACTCTTACCTCAGTTGGTCCCATAGGGACTATTGATCCTTAACAGAGACCGGATCGAATGGCATAAAAAAAAGTTTTGTAAAAATGGCCTTTTATCTTCCTGATTGTACCATTTTTCCAAAATCTGTGAATGCCAATCAAAATATCTTCAAAATTCATGGATAGTCTTCTAGAACCGTTTTCCTGTAACTAAAACGATTAAGGTGGCTGGCCTTGCTGCAACGTCTCAAATTTACACCCTGTATACTTGCCTACTGTTTTTAGTATCCTTATTAAATGAAGGTTTCAAAACAGTCACCATAAAGATATCGTTACATCCCGAGAAAAAATGTCAGAAAATGTAACTGTTGAAGAAGCTTTACTTGACCAGTTATACGCCTTAGGCTGTCCCGAGGGGGGGAAAATTTTACTACATGATAAATTAAATCCTCATACTACTCAACAATCCATAACAATCTTCACACATAATGTCAATGTATATTTTTTTATTATACAGGATTTCTTCCCAGAGAAACAGCTGAACATCACCAACAACATATTCACGAAGTATTGCAGGAAGCATTAGATCAATCTGGCATCAAGCCACAAGATATAGATGTTGTTTGTTATACTAAAGGCCCTGGAATGGGAGCGCCGTTGATGGTTTGCGCGATTGTAGCTAGGACTTGTGCCAAACTGTGGAAGAAACCCATTTTGGGTGTTAATCATTGTATTGGACGTATCCTTTTCATAAAACATTGATTGTAAGTGCTTTCACATTGAACATTATGTATAATAAACATATGCCTTATTTCATGAGTTTTTAAGTTTCACAATTGCTACATATACATGCATGAAACTATGTTTTCACTCAGCCGTGACCATGGGATCTGTAAAGAGCCAAAACTTTGGTTTGTTTTAATGAACAAATTTAGATTCAGTAAACGACTTTACGACATAAATAATTGAAGGATATAGTTTCATTTCCTATAACACCCTTACTTTATTGATTGGAATGTTGCTTCAGAATCAAACGTGCAATATGTCCGATGCTGATAAGTGAAGTTAAGTAGGGCCTGTAGTGCCTTCCTTTAATCAACGGACATAAATTGTGCATCCTTATTGTTGCAACTGGCTTTTATACATAGACATGTTTCAATTTAGATAGGTTGGATGTAATTATGCAGAATTAGTTTAACCACCTGTAGGTAAGTGATAAGTATATCCAAATAAATAATAATGCAATATTTTTATGAATAAAAATGTACAATCATGGTGGATTAGATCATGTCTGCTTAGCCTTATTTGGTTGCTGCGTTGCAAAATATTATGGTTTTTCAAAGTTTAATGTGTTTATGTATTATGTACTTATTGTGTCATATTCTCAAATAAAACCTTTCACCACATTATGATCCTTAACACCATAACACAGATATAGAAATGGGTCGACTGATAACTAAAGCAAGTAATCCCACAGTGTTATATGTGAGCGGAGGGAACACTCAGGTTATAGCTTATTCCAGACAACGATACAGGATATTTGGGGAAACCATTGATATTGCTGTTGGAAACTGTTTAGATAGGTAAAAGAAATGTGGCTTAAAATTGTATAGTATATAATTTCAACAATTATTAATTACTTTCAAACAGTGTCACCATATAATAGAGTATATATTGTAGGTTAATAAGTTACATACGCTTTGCCAGTTCTGAGAGTACTTAGAGATCATTAGGAGGGGCGTATTTTGTCAATGATAAAATGCTATTATCAGAGGCTCGGCTCTGTAGATGTTATATTGATTTTAGTAGTAATTACAAACATGGTTCGTTATGTTAATGTCAATTTTGGACCTTGTGATTGATTTAATAGTAAAATGCAGTTTACTTTAGCCCAGCACTTCTTTTTGCTAATTTACCTTTACTAATATTGCGGACTCCAGTATACCACCATTTCGATGATTTATCCACAGGCTATAGTGTTTCATTTATCTCCCGTACATAAAGTTTTTTTTCTTTCTCATCATGGATATGGAACATATTAATCTATAGCAAACATATTTGCATTATTGTTTGACGTCTGGAAATAAAGTTGAACTATTTATTTGTCTAACAGATTTGCAAGAGTACTGAAACTGTCAAATGCGCCAAGTCCTGGATACAATATTGAACAAGCTGCCAAGAAGGGGAAGAAATATTTACACTTACCATATTGTGTCAAAGGTAAAAGTTAACTTAGTTGCATTCCAAATTATTCTGAGAGATGCCCAAAATTCCGAAATATCTAAGATGCATGGTGATACTTCTTAGGCCATTTCTCATTGAAGCTATGCTTTTCATAGAGGTATTTATACGCGACCGCAACGCATTGCATACGCGTCAACATCAAAGATGGGATGAGCTGAAGCTAACTGCAGGGCCATGTTGGAGAAGAGTAGCTCTTGATAGAGCGCACTGGAAAGATCTAGAGGCCTATACCAAGAGGCATGCTGAGTTAAGATATATAATGTAAAAATTTTTAATGCAACAAAATTATAATGTAAAAAGTAATTGTAACTCAGCTTAAAAGGCTTAATAGATAAAAATAAAAAAAATACGCGACCTCGCTCTATTTTAGTGTAGTACTATGCATGTTAAAAAATGATCAAATTCATGGATTATTTCCTCGTATTTTTTGGAAAAGAACAATTTGTCTCAACGCAAATGTCAATTGCTTGACTCGATGCCTTGTAATATGCGAATGCTTCTCTAGCAATTGTTTATTCTCAGGAATAGAGAACTATCTATTACTCCTATAGCAACCCAGTATGACCAACAGACATAGGCGAGTCCAGTCAGATCCAAGGAATTTTTCTTTCGGATCGATCTTTATATCAATAATAATATCAAACTAGTGGAGTATTACACACACCTAAAATATAAATGCAAATCATGGTAGTAAAACATGATGTCTAAGAAATAAATATTGCCTAAAAATATTTATAATAAATACTGACTAAAATTTAATAGTTATATGACTGTAATTTTTAAATTTTTATTGAATGTCACGATTTTACTTACACTATTTTTTTTTAATTACTACAAAGATTCAACACTGCATAAGGGTCGTATTCTAGAACTCTAATCAATGCTCAAGTCAGGATTGCACTGGCAACACAAGCACTGAAAATACGACCCTGATGACAGGGACTTGAGTATGATTTCGAGTGCTTTAAACCATACTCAAATCCTGACTTGAGCATTGAGTAGAGTTCTAGAATACGACCCTTAGAGTCGTATTCCAGAACTCTACTCAATACTCAGGGTATTGCAGTGAGCACTGAAAATCATACTCAAGTCCTTGCTATTAGGGTCGTATTTCCAGTGCTTGAAAACATAATCAAGTCTGCTCGAATCCTGACTTGAGCATTGAGTAGAGTTCTAGAATACGACCCTAAGAAAAGTTCCTTCGATCCGGCTGGATTCGAATCAGTATCTTCAAACACTCTGCAAACAAGCTTCTGACATGATATGCTTGAAGACGCTGGTTGAAATCCACCCGGATCGAAGGAACGTTTCTTAGTGTTCGATCTTCGTATGAATTTTTGTATGACCTTTTAGATAGCGTTTTTGTACTCAACGATACCTTAATACATTACGAGCTTATCTGAACAACGGGAAAAAAGTTCCCATTTCCTTTCGGCCAGATTGATCAAATTACATTACATATTAAACTCCGTTTCAGGTATGGACGTAAGTTTCTCCGGCATTCTGTCATATATGGAGGACAAAATCGACGATCTTCTAAAGGAGTATACTCCAGACGACCTGTGTTATTCCCTGCAGGAGACTGTGTTTGCTATGCTTGTTGAGATCACTGAACGTGCCATGGCGCATTGTGGATCGGATGAGGTACTAGGTCGAGAGCTCATCAAGCTTGACACTTAAGATTGAAATTCTAATCTATGCGCTTGCGATAAAAATAGTCCAAATATGTAACGCATAAAAGTCCAAGGGCAAAGATACTATTGACCATTATATATTTTTTATATTTTCTAAGTGAGATTACCTCACAAACTAGTAGAGTAATTTCACAAAAAATAAAGGAATACACCTGGTGAAACATCCTGACATTAAATAAGCTTGATTACAATTACTAAAGCGACATCTCTAATCAGCTGCTGGTAGCTTTAAGGGCTCTTACACATAAACACGATGTGACGTCGCGTCGTGCTACGACGCGGCATCGTTTCACGACGCGCCATCGTATCGTGGAAATCTACGACGAGCAACGTAAAAATTCACGACATCGCAACGTGTCACGACACACGGCATGACGTCATATCGTAGAAACTCACAGTGCGCTCCCCAGTGCCGCATTCATTTGTTGTGCACATTCAAAGATGACTTTGTATTCTTCTGATGTTTTGTCCCATAGTATAATAGTACAAGACGCTCCTCGACTAGGGTTATTACATAACCAAACTCAATGTCGTCTGTCATCTTTGAATATTGAATAACAAATGAATACGGCACTGGGGAGCGCACCGAGTTTCTACGATACGACGTCGTGCTGTGCGTCGTAGCACGACGCGACGTCACATCGTGTTTATGTGTAAGAGCCCTAAAGGTACAGGTAAGGTAGGTGTGAAGAAATAGATTTCTCACAAATGACGCTACAGCAAAAAGAGTCGTTAAAAAACAAGCACATTGAAAAATTCGTAAGGTCCGCTAGTTCGTTCCGTGGCTTAATTGGCACAGCGTCTAGAAAACACTGGTTAGAATCCATCTGGATCGAACGAATTTTTTTTAAGTGTTTGATCTTTGTTTTTTTTTATAATGTCAAGTGACGGGACGAACAAGATGTGCGCCTGATGGTAAGCTACACGCCTGTCCGTAACAGCACTCAGAGCTTTAATCGCAAAGATCTGAGGGGCGCTGCCACTGCGCCCGTCACCTTGAGATAAGTTGACAAGTCCCATGTGCCTGTAATTTCACCAGCACCCTTACCCTTCAAAATCGGAACACAGTAATGCTGATATTACTGCTTAGCGAAAATACGTACTATATAGGTATAGGTACTTCCATGGACGAACTCTTTCACAAGGAGCTCTACTGCTACTAAAAATTGTATTATTGATTGTAACAAAACCAGTGGAGTAATTTCGCAAAAAATAATTTAATATTATGGTGGTGAAACATCCTGACATTTTGAAACTTACAATAAACTTAATAAAATTTTAAATAAATAAATAACTGTAATATCGAAATCGTCGCGCAAAACTACGGAGCCGTAGATACAAAAATTGAAGTTGTAATAAAATTAGCGACAGGGACCGTTTCTTCTTTTTTTTTATTGCATTACCTAGATACAAAGTCCTTCAGTTGAAAACATTTCAACAATAACAAAAAAAAATTGAAGCTTACAACTTAAAACAAATTCAAATTAAATATATTTACTTATATAGGATGTTAAGAATTATTTTTTCTTCTGCCGTACTTATAATAAAATTATAGGAGTGGAATAAAAAACTGATTATTGGAAAATAAGTCCTGAACGCGGCGGGGAAGACCGTTTCTCCATGCTCGTGGTGTTGCTATTATTTATGCAGTGTTGCTAGCAACCAAACTAATTGACAGATGATTTGACGTTTTTTTAACGTGTTACCAGACGAATTAGTATAAATATAAAATGTTGTTATACTTTGTTTTCCAATAAGCAACACAAAATTCTGTCTCTCATATAGTTAATTTAATATTTCAGGTTTTGATAGTAGGCGGTGTCGGATGCAATGAACATCTTCAAGACATGATGGCAGTAATGTGCAAAGAGCGAGGCGCCAAAGTATTCGCTACAGACGAGCGTTTCTGCATTGACAACGGAGTGATGATTGCTCATGCTGGAGCACTAGCGTTTAAGTCCGGGACTACAATGGATTTCAAAGAGACGACAATCACCCAAAGATATAGAACCGACGATGTTTTTGTTACATGGAGAGATGATTAAAGAATTTGTTTTTAATTAGCTGTTTCATTCTTTGTTAATGTTGTGGAACTAAATGGAATAATTATGACAGGCTAAGGTTGTAAAGAATGAATTTTTTTCATAGCTAACACACAAAAAAAATGTATAAGCTAAGTTACGAAAAAAGCACCTGTATCTGTCTTCGTGTAAAACTTTTAATATCGTGAACAAATTAGCAAAGGCTAAAAAGACATAAAGGTGAAGTATTAAAGTTTAAAATGTAGGACTACAGTGATCGTCTCGAAAAAAGTTTTGCATGATTCGTCTTTAAAAAAGACGACAGGTATCGGATTTATGCTCCACAAAATTGCTAACGGTTTTACAGATGCTACCTTGTTGCAGATGATATATATGCAGGTGCCAACTCGTTCTGTGCTTTTATCCCAACTATTCCATATTCTGTCAACAATATCTCTAGTAACAACCCGAAATCCAGAATGTGTACTATTAAAATGATATCTGTTCTTTGTGCATTCTAATCCACCACCTTAATTTCTTTACGTAAGCATTATATTTTTGTCTTTTCTCTTTTTCCTATTGTTTGTACTAAAGTGTTGTGTATAGCTATAATTACCTGTTGCTGTACCTTGTCCAATAAATATCCAAAGACGGCAACTTTTCACTGTACAGAGTTTCTTGTTACTTGTACATGCAATAGCAGCGTTAGGGCAGGACACCACTAGTCAGTCCGCATCAGCACTACATTCATACTAATCGTATGTGGAATCATCAGCACTCTTGGTGCTGGCTGGCAATGTTCAACTAATCAAGAGCTAACACAGACCAGACGAAATAATATTTTATTCCCTTGTTTTGGACGGAAATTTGAATTTTCAAGGGTTTGTGAATAATTTTAATTGCCAATGTTGATATTAAATAACATCAGTCATAGCCCCGCACTAGGAAAATCCTGTATCGTGGGTGCCATGGACACACAAATAGACTACCACAAATTACTCCCAAACTCACGAGAAAAATTAATGTAGATCATACAAATATTTCTCCCGGCCTGGCAGTCGAACCCGAGACCTCTGCGTGGCAGTCTAGCAGGTAACCGTTCGGCCATAGAAGCACTTAATATTACTGTAAACACGCAATACTTTCTCTTAATATGTCATTCTCCTGAAGCAATTCACCTATTTTAGATGCATTAGGTACACTTTAAGTATGGTTCAATTTAAATATGTACACAGTGGGGGAAGTGTGGTGTTATTACCAATAGTCGGAAAAAGGTGTTCCACATATATAGATACATGTATAGATATAGATACAAGGAGCGATATAGCGTTGGTAAAACCACCAAATATTATTACTTTTTCGAATTCCGGAAATGGGTTTATTGCATCGTAACAGCGTAAGACAAAACTACTGCCCTAGGAAGTTGAAGTTGGATTTTAAAGTCATTCTTATGGTGCCATGTAAACTAATGCAGTAGATAACGGACCTTTTACCAAAGCAAAGAATAAAAAAGTTACCGAGAATGGTCACTCTCCGCCCCTCCCTAGCTTTAGATACCGCATATTGACAGTCACATTGACGGAACGGCAACAAGGTTGTCAGTTATCATAGCACCGGAATTCGGAAAAATAATTAAGTAATATTTGGTGGTCTATGTCGTTCCTTCTAACTACGTCTATACATGTATGTATATATGTGGAACACCTTTTTCCGGCCTATGGTTATTACATAACAGATAACAATATTTTAGAAAAAAACACGAAAATTAAATTATAAAAACTTTATTCAATTCAACCATTTCATTATTCATATTTGTTCAAAATATGGGAATTCATTGCACACGTAGGGTTCAAACATGCGAATGTAACAACAAAAACGTTGATTATCATATTGCATTGGTTTTTAAAATAAATTATTACATTACAATCTCTTGTAAAGGAATACATGATAAAACTTAACAAATATTATTTTACTTAAATATATTAAGTATAGAAATGTAAAAAGCTTTCAATCGTTACTTTATTGATTGATCGCTTTTAATGATAAAGTTTATGAATGTTTGT